TAACTTGGAAGTAGAGTGAAGTTATTTTAATTGCTCAAGCATTCTGAGATAAGGTATAGCAGCTGTAACTAGTAACAATACTTTTGGTTATGAACTCTTGAGGATGGAATTAATTTTAGGTCATACTCAGAACAGATGAGGCACTAATAAAGGAGAATATATGTAGTTCAGGTTTGAAATGTGAGATCTTTGGTGCTCTCTCAGCTCGGTTGTTTTCTTGCAAATGTTTAATTACCCAAAATAAGGTAACATCATCTGTGCATAGGCACTAGCAGGATGAGGTACTCCTGCTGTGTCAGGATGCCAGGTTGTTGCTGGTAGTGCTGTTGCTATTACAGCTGATGGGATATTTTTTGTACTAAAATGCTACTGACACAGAGTCATAAATGCACAACACTTTACAGATTCATAAGGAGAGGGGGGGAGAGATACCTGACTTCAGTTTCAAGAAGTTGAGAGATAACAGAAAAGGAATCATAACAGCTTTGCTGGATCAGACTCAAAGCCTGTCTAGAGCAGTTTCTAGAGCACCCAAAATATAATATATATACAGGTAGCATGGAACTCTGGGGGGGCATTAGGAAAGCTAAAGTTCAGAATAAGCAGTTGTTGGCAGAGGAATTAATAACTTCATTGGGTATGTTCAAAATTAGGGAAAAAGAACAAATAAGAATACCAGCCATTCAGTGAAGACAGCAAAACAAACAGATAATAAAAGATAAATCTATTCAGCTTCTATTTTGTTTCAGTGTTGCTGGAGAAGGCTTTACATGTTCCACATATTTGGTTACAATAACTTAACTTTCAACATAGCATTTCACAAAATGCTTAATAACTGCCTTTCAAACTAGTTAAATGCGGACAAGAGCATGATGGTTAAGTCTATCCCTTTTCTAGATTGGCAGACCTTCCAGAAACTCATTCATGCCCAGTAGCCCTCATAGCTTGACTACTGCAATAAATATGAGTCTTGAAGACCACCTGGAAACTTCAACTGGTCCGAAGTACCTGCTCCATGAGCTATACTGGTTGCCAGTTTGCTTTTGGGGGAGATTCAAGGTGTTGGTGGTGACTTATAAACCCCTACATGATATATAAATGTTTGACCTAAAAAAATAGTGGAAAATGAGGTTGGAATAAGGATGTGAGGAAGTGGAAGGCAGATTGGCAGAAGCTGCAAAGAAAGATCAACTGGACAGAGAGTCAACAGGAAGAGGAGACTAAGACATTCTAGTTTAGGTATTGTCAGTGGAAACTTGACTTGGAGCAGTTACACCTATGCCAATGCATTTTAGTGATTAAAGAGGATAAGATATAAAACTACCAAAGAGACCAATGTTCAAGTACCTTCAGCCATGGAATTTCACTGAGGGATTTTAGGCTGATCAGATCAAGTAACTTCATGGGAATAACACTAGAGAAGAAAACACTCTGTACAACTCCTTGACTGACTGACTGACTGATTACTATTAAGACAGGGTTGATTGTTAATGACCACATAGATTTTCTGTCTTTAACCTGGTTTTTCAGGTTTCCATTAGGAAAGGTATCCATTACTATTGTAATTGAATCCATTTACCTTTCTCTTCATCTCTTTCCTTCTACCCTTCCCAGCACTATACAGATAGACATCTCCAGAGAGCTGAGTCTTAATGCATAATGTGTTCAAAGTCTAATAATCTGAGCCTGTTCCTTTGTGCCTTTGACTGAGATCTCTGGGTTGATTTGTTCGATTATATACTTGTTTGTGGATGTTTTGGCATTTGGTTGTATTCTCAAAAGATTTCTCTCTTTTTTAAATATGATTTTTATTCAGACTTTTAAAAAAAGATTAAAAACTAATCCAAACTAGGTAATATAAAGTAAAGAGAGAGAAAAAAAGAGAAGACCAAAAGTGAAAGAAAAGAGTTTAAGAAAACAGAAAGGAAAAAAATACAAAAAAGGGGCTTCTAATATTCTTCACAGCAGTTATAAGTATAATTATATTTTAATCTTTCTCTCTTTAACAGTATTCTTAAGAGCCTTCTCCATCATCAAAATTCAGAAGTGTCAGTACTCTTTCTAGTCTGCTTCCTTAAATTCCAGTTTTTTTGTGTCACAGGGAAAAAAACATTGCCTGCACAATTTTGATCTTTGTAGATGTAGACACATCTCTCTATCTAAGTATCTTTTCCAAGACCTTCATTGCTTCTCTACTGAGTGCTTGTCTGTGTCATATTTTAAGACTCCTGTTCTTTTGTACTTTTGACAGTTGTCAGAAAAAGGCGGAAGCTATCCACCTCCTTCAACACCTTTAATTGTCAGTTCTAAAGCTAGTAATTATACCTGTTATTATTTTAGCAATCTTTATTTTTAATCTTTGTCCCATTTTTTCCACTATGCTCCTTGATTTGAGAGCCAGTGTGGTCTAGTGATTAAGGCACCAGGCTGGAAAGTGGGAGATTACAAGTGTAAGTCCTGTCTTAACCATGTCAGTCTCTTTCAGCCCAGCTCACCTCACACAGTGGTTGTTGTGAGGGAAATAGGAGGAGGAAGATGGGTTGGTTGCTCGCCATCTTGAGTTATTTGTAAAAATAATAAAGGCAAGATACAAATAAATAAATAAAAATAAATTAAAAGAAAAATTACTAGAGCTAACATATCATTTGCCTTTTCAGCTATTTTTGTTGTATCATCAGCATACATGGTTGGTGTTTCCTCCGCCAGGTTTGAAACCATGCTCATCTTCTTCCAATCTAAGTTTCCTCAATATATACTCAACATAAAGGTTGAAGAAATAAGGGGACAGTCTACAGTCTTGTTTCACTCTTTTTCCAACCTAGAACCAGTCTGTTTGCCATGTTCTGTCAGACCATGGCTTTCTGACATGTATAGGCTTTGTATGAGGACAAGGAGATGCACTAATTAGGATTCCCCTTTTTCTAAGCACATACCACAACCTGACATGATCAACACAATCAAAGGCTTTTCTATTAACAGAGAAGCACATAGTGAGTTCTTTTTGATATTCTTTGGGTTTCTCAATTATCTCAACAATGTATCTTATTCCTTGACCTTTTCTAAAGCCAGCTTAAACATGTGGGATCTCTCTTTCTATGTAGGTCTCTAATCTGCATTGGATGATCCTTTTTCCTATCATGTGAAATTAAGGGTCCTATACAACGATTTGCTTACTCTTATAAATAATATATCTCTAATAAATAGATAAATGATAGAGATCATGAAGAAGCAACATGCTTCCTTGAACAGGTATGGATTAGATAGTGATGGACACATACTTTGTTAGATAATATTGACAGATAATATTGACAGATAATATTGTCCTCATCTTTGACCAGTGAGCAGCTTCAAATTATTCTTCAAAAGAATCATTTCACAGAATAAAATCCTCTAATCTAGGCTGATAGGTGACATTTCTTGTTTAATTGTCTTGGAATAGGCTGATGAATTTCATTCAGAGAGCAAAGGCACCACTTTTGAATTTTCTCTCAGATCTGTATGAAGTTTATTGCAAGGAATTACAGACTCCTGTTGATTCAAGATAGCATAAAGTACCAATCTAACTGCTGTATTGTTATTTCTCCAAAGGGATGCAGAACATTTTGCAGCCCAGAAGCTTAAAATATTTGCATTCTTGTTGAAATAGGCTAGTGTGTTCTTCTCTCCCGCCCAGCACTGTTTTTCATAAATAGTCAAAAGTCTCTTGGGAAGATTGTGTATTGCTGTTAGTTTCCAACTTCAAATAATCAGAACTTTGTTACTGTGGGCCATGCTTTGTACACAGTAATCTTTCTTTCTGTTATATTTTTATCTTCAACCCATCACAATATTGAACTAGTTACCCAATGTTTTGCAAAGCTTTGTCTCATGCAAGTGATGCTGCATCCAGGAGGGAATTCATATTTTGTTAAACACTATCTGCAAGAATTAAAATTCTATGGAATATAGGAAGAAAGAGAGCTATTCATAAAAACTACCATGTAGCAATGCATGAAGATTTCACCTTTAGCTTTATGAGAGTTACTGGGATAATGTCTTGCAAACATTACTCTCAATGTAATGCATTCAATCTGTTGTGTTTTAGGGGTTGATTATTGTAATTATTAGTAGCTGATTAGCATTAGAGCTCCTTTTTATTCCCTTTCTCCCATGGTTTGCATGCAACTCCCAAGGAAACCTATATAAGCAAGCAAAGATTATACTGATTAGGGACTGGAAGTTTCCATCAATTCCAAATAAGTTTCAAAAGTGGGTGCAGAAGTAGATGGTAGAGTGCAACAAGTCGACTTAAGTAACTTCTTCAAAAAAGAGTTCCACTGTGAAGGAAAATTGGATCTCTCCTGGTACTGGAATAAGAGGAGACCCTTAGTAATCAAATAATACAATGACTGTTGCAAATATTTTACATTTATTCTTATCCCTTATTTTTCTCTGGGCAAGGGTTTTCTCTTCTGAAAGAGACATTGCCCTCTTGAATCTTGCTATAGCAGTAGGCTTGAAAGTTTGAATAAATGAGTTGAAATAAATGCTAGCAATTTATTTTATTTTCTTTTTCCCTATGATACTTAGGCAAAGTTCTGAGCAGGCAGATGTTACATATCTGATTGCAAAATTCTGATTGGCTAATAGTTACTTTCAGGCATTATATTTACAAACATGCCTGTGAACCTAGGATCCCTGCCTCCTAATGATCAAAATGGTCAGAATACCCTGGATCAGTTTCAGATGTGTTTTAAGATAAAATTAGAGATGTTGGAAAGCAGAAAAGCTGTTTGTCTGGAAGTGCCTTAGATACATTGGCTGAATATTGTATGTGTGTACATTCACACTCATTCACTAATACTTAAACATAGCTTTGTAACTACACCAAGCTCTCAAACAAAATGCCTGTAGACAAAGTGTTTCACTCACCTACCGCCATGTGATGATATGGAATTTTTTCATATAATAGAATTTTCCTTTGGATTAAATTTTATTTCTTTATCTTTTTTTTTTTTTAGGAGGAATGACTTCCTCTCGCTTCTATGATTATGGTAGTTCCAAGACATCAGACAGAAGCAATGGCTCCCTTTACACCTCTCTGTTTTCCGATGAACTCTATACAGCACCTCAAGATTCCTCTTATTTCACTGGCAATCTTTCCATGGAGGACAACCATATTACCCCTTCAGAGAGCACTGAGGGAATTCATGCCCAAGGTGGTCTGTTTAGCTCTGATTCAGGAATAGAGATGACCCCAGCAGAACCCACTGATGTCAACAAGATTTTAGCTGATCCAGAGGAACAGATGAAATCAGAATCCTACAAGTACATGGACATCAGTAGATCAGAAGAGATTAAATACCAAGAGAGCTGCGATACAGTCAAGGAAGACACGATCCCTCTCAGCTTGATTAATAAAGGAGCGGAGGACAAGTTTGGAGCAAAAGGGATATCACTGGAGGAAAAACATGTGTCCAAAGAGGGCTCATCTTCTCTACTGGACCACCAGTATAGCCCCTCAGAAACATCACAAGTCAAGATTACACTGACGGAAATAGAAACTATGGAGGTTCCTGTGTCAAAGGAGGAAACTCCTGAAAAACAAGAAGTTGGTCTCAAACCAAGCCACGAAACAGTTCCTACAGTGACAGTATCTGAGCCAGAAGATGACAGCCCAGGCTCAATTACGCCACCTTCTTCAGGAACAGGTAAAAAATGATTACATACCAGAGTACAATAAAAAAAATAATTTAGGGGATGAGGAAGGTTTGCAGATAACATACACTAAAAAACCCTACCCTGTTTACAACCCTTAATTCAGGATAAAGTCAGATGGATGGAACTGACCGGATGCTGTTCTTGATGTCATGTGGAGTTCTCAGCGGATAGCTAATATCTGCAATTAAATTTTCTAATAAGAGTACAGGTGGATGGAATTGGAACTCCTAAATTCTTAGTGATGGCCATGCTGGTTGGAGAATTATGGATATTGAAAACATACATCTAGGGATTACCTAAATAATTCATAAATTATACATTGCTCCCTATGATATAGAGAAACCTCAATCCACAGCAACACTCACCAATTTGTTCCTCCTACAGATGCCCTGGGTGTGTAGGGGAAAGGATGGCTGGAAACCCACAAATATTTCCTTCCATTAAACTACACAATATTATATTCTGTGAGGTCTACTACAATGGGTAGTTTTATTGCCATGGTACAATAAAGATAAGTGGTACTGATAGTGCTTTTAGTATCTAAATCCTTTCCTCTGAAATTAAGGACATTGTTATGTAGAAAAGCTCTATGCCAGAGGTGTTCAACTTTAGCAACTTTTAAGACATGGATTTTAATTCCCAAAAATCCACAGCCAGCCATCTTTAACTCTGGCTTATTAAACAGCAGTGGAGATCTTTTTCTCCACCGGTTTGAAAGATGCTGAAGTTCCAGAAAATCATTAAAAGGGGAAGTGAAATGAAAACCAAAATCTGTCTCAAGCGAAGATCCTAAGCATATCTAATGATAGGTTGTGGAATTGTTTTGTCTCCTTTGGACATTTAGATCCATGGAAAAATTTTTCCTACAAAAGTTAGCCATCCTCATTTAGCAAACAAGAGAGGGGAAGTAATTGGCAACTGCCCACAAACTTGACATATATATTTCAAGAAATATAAAATATTAACTTATATGAAATATGATACTAAGCAGCAAAGCCTACACTCAAGAAAAGGAGAGGTGTGTTATGCTTTGTTATGTATCACATATACAAATTACAGTCCCCTTTTACACCACCTTTTCCCACCTTAAAAGCTTTTATGAGTCATGCCATCCGTACTCTGTTTTCAGCAATATGTTTTCACACATTAAAACACCCACTTTTATATTTTGTACAAACCATGTATTTTTTGAAACTTGCTTATTATTTGCAAACTGTTAAGAGTGAAGTCATGCCTCTTTATGAGGAGTAAACATCAGCACTAGACATGAAAAAACAATCCAATCTAGAAATAATACAGAAAGCCCATTGTGTTTGCTCTAGAGCTTGAGGGTTGGGAGATACTGTACATGCATAAGTACATTATGTGATTGCTTCCTGAAGAGATAAAATTGGATTTTTGCTAACCAGAATTTTTATCCTTCTCTTCCCCTCATGTTTGTGTTTCTCTTTTACTGCATTCTTCTTTCCTAACTTGGAACAATTTCCTTGAAATTCCAGAACCATCTGGTTCTGAGTCTCAAGGTAAGGGAAGCCTTTCTGAAGATGAACTTATTAATGCCATTAAAGAAGCAAAGGGCTTCCCATTTAAGCATCCTGAAGGCCAAGGACCACAAACTGTTGTACCAGAAAAACAAGATAAGAAAAACAAGTTGACAGAATTTCCAGCAGGAAGTGCTCCCTTGGATAATGAAGCAAGCAGTGCTGAATCTGGTGATTCTGAAATAGAATTGGTATCGGAAGACCCCCTAGCTGCTGAAGAAGTTCTCCATTCCAACTACATGACCTTCAGCCATGCTGGAGGTCCTCCACCTTCCCCAGCCTCGCCTTCAATACAGTATAGCATCCTGAGGGAAGAACGTGAAGCTGAACTGGACAGTGAGCTCATAATTGAATCATGTGATGCTTCATCAGCCTCTGAGGAGAGCCCGAAACGGGAGCATGACTCTCCCTTAATGAAGCCAATCATTATGGACATTATCCAAGAAGAAAATCACACTAGGAATGAAGGCACCAGGGCTTCGGATTACAATTTAAGTGGCTCCAAGGAAAGCAGAATGAACAGGGAAAATCTAGCAGACTCAGCCTCCTACTTGAAGTGTTCCTTTGCCGCATCTAAAGTCCATGCTGATACCGTGTCGTCTACCATCAGTAGTGAAGAAATAAAGGATAAAGTAGCTCGGAAGAAATCAGTTGAAATGGCAGCGACTGCTACTGGAAAGAAATCACCATCCAAGGATTCATTGACAAGAAGTCCCTGGTCTTCACCACCACTGCCATTTTTAAATAAGCAAAAAGGTAATGCTGTACATTTTTATTTGCCAAAAATATGGGCATTTGGCTATCTATGAGAATAGATGATGAAAACACTGCTGATCTGGAAGAATCAGGAACAGCAAGGGTCTGCCTCCTTATAGATAGGATTTCAAAGCAAATCATTTATCTGGGGGTCAGGAATATTGCTAAGAGTTTATTAAGGCATGGGGGTGAATATTGGAAATGGCTATTTGTAATGCAGTTATTGCACAAGTTCAATTAATTGTGGCTTTGGTAGCATGAAACATCACAATAATGGTTTGGTTTTATGCAAGTGAAAATACCTGCAGTCACCACATTTGCAAGAAACTCACTTTCAGAAAGGTAATGTTATTGGGGAACTTAATATGCAACATAATGATTATCTCCACTAATTAAGAATTCAATTTACGTCTTATTTTGTCCCCTCTCCCCATTAGTTAGCTCAAGGAGACTTACTCCTGTATTTGTTTAAAATTAGGTATTTAAAGAAGTCTAATAATTATTTTAAAATATATTGGATAGAATAAAAAAATACAGTGTAGAGAAGTGATAGAAGAATGAACAACCTGATTACAAAGAGAAAGAGAGAGAATGATTATCTTTAATCAGCATCCCTAATGGTCCAGTAAAAATAGTCTTTAAGCATGCAAGTGTTTGTATAAAAGGGGTAGATTGAATTATATCTTATTTAGATCTGGGCCATAGAACAGACCCATATAAGAATACAACAATGAAATGTAGGTAACGCATAAATGATGTAGACAAGGGGACCCCATCACTGGGCCCAATACCTGGCCACAGCCTATTTGGAAATGGATTGCATAAGTGGCGGGTGAGTATGTGAAGCTCCACTTGTGTGAGCAGGGAGCATTGGCACTTGCACACAAAACTTGACTTGCATGAGTGGCAGGCGCTTGGGCTTGCGCGTGAAGCTCTATTCATGCGAGCAGCAGGGGTGTGTGCCTGCCACTCACACAAATGGAGCTTTGCACATGCACACCTACCACTCACAAAGAACATTCCTGTCGTGTCCGTCGCGGGAAGGAAGCTCGGAGTCAGTGACTTGGTTT